GTCTTGAGGTCCTGGGTTCAAATGATCCTCCCACCTTGGCCTCTCAAAGTGTTGGAATTACAGATGTGAGCCACTGTGACCGGCAGCAATATTTTTTAAATCATGAGGAAAGCTAAAGATTTTATTTTATAGTTATTGATCATTTATACTTCTTTTGTGGTTTGTCTGCCTATTCTTTACCCATTTTTTATATGGGAATGTTACCTGAGTTATTGTCATGTTAGAGTTAAATCCTTTTCTGTCATACAGTATAGATGTTTGCTCTAGTTTGTTATTGCCTTTTGGTTTATGGTGTTTCACGAAAGTGTGTGTATGTGTGTGTGTGTGTAAAACCTACTGGAAGGAACTGTAGGAAATAATCCTTATTTACCTATCACCCAGAATGCACAGACATTTTTACATTGTAGTTTTGGTTTGGTATTTTTTATAAAGGAAATTAAATATTATATAAAAATTGTGTGTGTATTTTAAAACCTACTGGAAAGTACTATAGGAAATAATCCTTATTTACCTATCACCCAGAACGCACAGACATTTTTACATTGTAGCTTTGGTTCTGTATTTTTATAAAGGAAATAAAATGTTATATAAAAATTGGAATCATCTTGATTCCTTTTCCCATCCTCTCCCTTCCTTCCCTAGGGCAGCCGCTATTATGAATTGAAATTTTCCTACTGTTACCATATATGCTACTATCAATAAAAAACGTATAGTACTAGTTTGTGGCCGGGCATGGTGGCTCACACCTGTAATCCCAGCACTTTGGGAGGCTGAGGTGGGTGGATCACTTGAGGTCAGGAGTTTGAGACCAGCCTGGCCACCATTTCTTTAGAGGTGGCAAAACCCCGTCTCTACTACAAATACAAAAATTAGCCGGGTGTGGTGGTGAGTGCCTATAATCCCAGTTGCTCAGGAGGCTGAGGCAGGAGAATCACTTGATCCTGGGAGGCAGAGGTTGCAGTGAACTGAGATTGTGCCACTGCACTCCAGCCTGGGCGACAGAACGACACTCCATCTCAAAACAAAACAAAGCAAAACAAAACAAAAAAACGGTACTAGTTTGTGTATGTGTGTGCACACTCAAACTTACACACATACGATCACTGGTGTATGTTCAGGCATTTTGCCTTATTTGTACTGGTGTTCAGTTCGATTAATAATGATATGCATAGATCTAGTCCTTTCATTTTGACTGCTGTCTGGTATCACATCCAGTAAATATAGCTCCAGTTTCTTTGTCTATTTATCAATTCTCATATCTAGTGAACACTGAAGATGCTTGTTTTTCCATAACAACATTGCCGTGAACATCCATACATGTCTGTCCTCATGCATATTTGGTTAATCTTCTCAAGGAGCAACCTTAGAAGTGTGTTGTGGATTATGTGGGTTTTCAGATCTATTGGCCCTTGACAAATTGTTCCCAAGTAGTCATCCCAGTGGATGACACTCCCACCAGTGTGAAAGGGCTCCTTTTGTCCCACACCTTCCAAGACATGCTGTTAGATTTAGTAATTTTTGCCAGTCTGTGAAAGTGAGATAGAATCTCATTGTGGTTTTAGTTTGCATTATCCTGATTGTTGATAGGGTAGAGCATCTTTTTATTATAGATATTGGGGTTATGATTAATAATCCTGGTTGTTGCCTAAGGTATAACAGGTTTTCTATTCTATGCACTTTCTCTTCCTGCCCTTTGCTCATTTCCCCCATTGGGTTATTTATCTTTTTCTTATTGATTCATTGGTGTTCTTTGTGTCTTAGGTACTAATACCATTTTAATTTATTTTATTTATTTATTTTTGAGACAGAGTCTTGCCCTGTTGCCCAGTCTTGACTCACTGCAATCTCCACCTCCTGGGTTCAAATGATTCTCCTGCCTCAGACTCCCAAGTAGCTAGGACTACAGGTGCTTGGCACCATGCCCGGCTAATTTTTTTTTTTTTTTTTTTTTTTTTTGAGACAGAGTCTCCCTCTGTCACCCAGGCTGGAGTGCAATGGCACGATCTCGGCTCACTACAACCTCCACCTCCTAGGTGCAAGCAATTCTCCTGCCTCAGCCTCCCGAGTAGCTGGGGTTACAGGTGCATGCCACCATGCCCAGCTAACTTTTTTGTATTTTTAGTAGAGGTGGGGTTTCACCATATTGGCCAGGCTGATCTTGAACTCCTGACCTCAGGTGATCCACCCGCCTCAGCCTCCCAAAGTGATGGGATTACAGGCTTGAGCCACTGTGCCCGGCCAATTTTTGTATTTTTTGTAGAGACGAGGTTTCACCATGTTGGCCAGGCTCATCCCAAACTCCTGATCTCAAGTGATCCTCCCGTGTCAGCCTCCCAAAATGCTGGGATTATAGGCATGAACCACTGTGCCTGGCCAGGTACTAATACCATTTTATATGTGCTTTGGCCATCTTCTGATCCATGGCTTACTCTTCCTTTTTTCTTTAACTCAACATGTACTGCACTCTGTTAGAGTATTGCCAAGCCCTCCCCTCCAAGTATGACGCTGACTTAGCTATATCCTCAAGGAATGTAGCATATACTCAAAGTATTAAAAAGTCCTACAGGAACCAACAGGAGGGCTGGGGAAACATTCAGACAACACTAGATCTGGTAGCAATGACCACCACAGCAAAGAAGATGTATTAGTCCATTCTTGCATTGCTACAAAGAAATGCCTGAGACTGGGTAATTTATAAAGAAAAGAGGCTCGTGGTTCTGCAGGCTGTATAGGAAGCATATGCTGGCATCTGCTTGGCTTCTGGGGAGGCCTCAGGAAACTTACAGTCGCAGCAGAAGGCAAAGGGGGAGCAAGCACCTCATGTAGCTGGAACAGGAGGAAGAGAGGGAGAGTGGGAGGTGCTGTACACTTTTAAACGACCAGATTTCACGAGAACTCCCTATCACCACAACAGCACCAAGGGAGATGGTGCTAAACCATGAGAAACCACTCCATGATCCAATCACCTCCCACCAGGCCCTACCTCCAGCATTGGAGATTACATTTCAACATGAGATTTGGGTGGGGACAAATATCTAAACTATATCAGAAGGGTCTGGCCAGGTCTGAAGGAAAGGGCCATCCAGTTAAGCAAAGCACAGAGGCATGAAAGTGGGTGGTCAGCCGAGAGTCCTCATTTCTTTCCTAGCCTTAGTCTCTTGGCTCTTCAGCACCTCCGTTCCCGCCTCCATGTCTCACCTGCAGCCAGGACAGCTGAGCACTTCTGCCTCCTCCGTCTCCACTGCTCTCCATGTGGCCTCAAGCCCTGTCCTGGGACCCTTGCCTCTGCCTCCCTGCTGGGGAGCAGGCTAGATTTTCAGCATTTTCATCTTCTAAACCTTGCTTATGCTCTTTTTTCCTTGTATAGAAGTTTACATTTTTGATGTCTATTGTTCAGTCAACCTTCATGCAATGTGCTTTTTATGTCTTATCTACAAAATCCTTCTCCATGCCAAAGTCAGACTTTCTTTTCTTATAATAAAAATAAATAAAATATCACAAAATAGAAAATTAAAAAGCTTGCAGTTTCTTTTTTCTTTTTCTTTTCATTTATTTATTTATTTATTTATTTATTTATTTATTTATTTATTTATTTTTTGAGACGGAGTCTTGCTTTGTTACCAGGCTGTAGTGCAGTGGCGCGATCTCGGCTCACTGCAAACTCCATCTCCCGGCTTCAAGCGATTCTCGTGCCTCAGCCTCCCAAGTAGCTGGGATTATAGGGATGCACCACCACACCCAGCTAATTTTTGTATTTTTAGTAGAATTGGAGTTTCATCATGTTGGTCAGGATGGTCTCCTGACCTTGTGATCTACCCACCTCGGCCTCCCAAAGTGCTGGGATTCCAGCCTGTAGTTTCTTATACTAGTTTCTGTTTTTTATACTTAGGGCTTTCATCCATCTGGAGGTTTTTGTATTTGTAGTTAAAGTTACTTCCTTTTTTATGCCTTTTCCGCTGCGTTGATGTTTTCAGGGTCCTCTCTGAGGTCTGAGGAGTGTTCTTTGACAGTCTTGTCGCTATCTGCTCTGCACTGCTTTGCCTCTTGTGGGCACCACCAGGCGAGGGCAGCCAGCGTTTGTCTGGTGGGTTTCTCTGTATCTCAGGCACTGTTTGTGACATTGGTGATTTTACTTTCATGTTGTGAACCCTGGCCCCAAAGGGCTTGTTTAACTTTTTGCGGAGAGTTCGTTCAGTTTCTGAAGCCCCCACATTGCCTGTTGAGTATGTGTTGAGCCTGGCACTGGAAATGCCCTCAAATCTGTGAATACTGCCAAGTAGGGGATCCCAGGACACCCTAATGATGCCTCTGCTGACCTTGAGCTCACAGCCCCATTGTGTTTTCCATAAGAGATGAGAGGGACTGATAAAGGGTGTTTACCTGTGTTAGCCTTATGGAAGCAAGAGTTCCCTGCAGGGAATCAGGGTGCTTTGAACTTCTCCCACTCCTGCTTACTCCTTTTAGGTCAAGAGAAAACAAAAATATCCTTCCAACAATGTGTGTTTTCTGCAGTTTAGGCGAGAAAAAGGTAGGAAAATAATAGTTCACCAATGTATAGGACTCTCCTGATAGGCGGTCACAGTGGTCCTGGAGCATACGTCCAAGGTGACTATCCTAAATGCCTGTGGGAAACTGCATCTTCATGAGAGACTTGTCCAGACGCCCTCTTGTGTTGCCTCTGCTGTCCCGCCACCAAATGCTTTGCTGGTGTCTTTCCAAGCAGAGAGGAGGTGCTGGAAGGTGAGCGTAGGATGACTTCCAAGTCAGCCCTTGAGTCTTTTTGCCAAATAGCACCTGCCAGGGCACCCTTCCTCCCGGCCTCAGCCTGCCTGCCTCTCGCCAAGGGCCACGGCATCTTTTAGGAACTGGAAAGTGTCATTGACAGTTGGCGGCTTTTATGTGTGCATTTCTGCCTAAAGATTTTGCTTTTCACTTTTCGCTTTTTCCACTGCATATTAAAATTTTTCTTTTTTGCCCTGTCTTTGTGTGTTTTTCCTTAGGCCGGAAGCTGAGAGGAAAAGCCTTTTATTTTGTCAACGGCAAAGTGTTTTGTGAAGAAGACTTCCTGGTGAGTGTGTCACCGCAGCCTCTCCTCGCATGTCCTGGCCAGAGGCAGAGGGCAGGGGCGTGGTGGGACCTGGGCCAGCGCACAGGGAAGCTGCACTGCTGGAGAGAGGGGCCCTGCCTTTCGTTCTGTAGATGCGTGGGGGTGGCCGTGTTCCCGAGGCCAATGGCAAACCACATAGCCTTGTACTTTGAAGAAACTGTGGGGTCACTTGACCCTGTTGCTGCTTTCTGCAGTTCTGCCTCTTCTACCATCCTGGACTCCTCCTCTTAGACCTCTGGACTGGGACCTGGGCTCTCTTCTTCTCATCCCACTCTCTCTGGGAATCTAGCTTCTCCCATGGACTGAAAGTTCATCCATGTGCCAGGGACTCCCAGACCTGAGCTCTAGCCCTGCCGCACCTCTGGGGCCAACGGCTGGCATCCCACTGGCCCCTGGACATGTCCCCTGGGCTGTGTCCCAGCCTCTCACATACCAGCCGCTCACCATATTTGTGTGAACCAAGACCCTTGCCTTGGGTCCTGATCTGTGAGAATTGCCTCCTAGGTTTGTCCTCAACCCCACCTCCTTGAATGCAGCCAGGCGTTGAACTCTCTGCTGCCATGTCTTCCACAGTTCTGCCTCCGTTCACACCTCCGGCATGGCTCAGCCAGACTAGCTTAACGGCCTCCACACCCCCGCATCAAGAGGCCTTATAGGGCATAAACCTGGCCTGCTTGGTCCCAGCATGTGTAGGGTACAAAGCACGCTCAGAAGTTCTCCGAGGTCTGGACTCCCCAGCTTCCCACACCTGTGCAACCTCATGCCTTCATGCCTTTGCTTGGGCCATTTCCCCTGCTTGCAATGTCTTGCCCCTTTATTTTCCCAGAGTCCCCCAACAGCCTTCCTGTCCCTCCTGCTCCCACAATGGAGAAGCTCCTCTGTGCTGCCACCACGCCCGGGACCTGCCCTGGCAGAGCTGTGGGCTGTTAGCCCTGAGCATTATGTCTGTTTACAAGTCTCTCCTCCATTGACTGAAAGCTCCCAGGGCGAAAAGAACATGTGTCTTCACCTTCACACCTGCAGATTCTAACACGATGCCATGCAGAGTGGGTGCTTGATAGATAGTGGTTGAAATGACCCTGTCATCTCAGGGATGAGGAATGTGAGATGCAGAGATGGGCTCAGGGCCAGCTTCTCCCTGCCTTCCCTTGGAGAAAAGCTCTATTTGGTTTTCACTGAAAAGTTGATTCATTATGACTCCTGTTGGCCAGAAACAGACAAGCAAACCCAAACGGGCTTACGTCAAAAGGAAATTATTCCAGCAGTGCCTCAGGAGTCATTTTCTCCACAGTTTTTGGCCCTGTATCTCAGTGGTAGCTTCAGTCTCAGGTCCTGTGTGATGGCCAGATGTTGGCAGGACCCCAGAGTTTACATTCTCTCATTTTCACATCCGATGGGCAAAAGTGCCAGTCCCTCCTTCGGAATCCTCAACAGACATCTCCTGGAGTCTCATTGGCTCTTACTGGGCCACATGCCCACCCTTGGAAAAACTATCAGTGCTGGAGGAATGCAAGGCTCTGATAGACCAGGTCTGTCAATGCCCTGCCTAGGCCCTGGCGTGGAGCCAGCCCACATGATGATGGGAGCCACGTGGTGTGGGGCTGGGGGCTGGATCCCAAATGAAAATAAAGAACTATTACCCCCAGAATGGGGCATAGGTGCCAGCTGACAGAAACCTCCACCACATGGTGTAGAGTTGCAGAAAGTTTCCCTTTTTCATTTTTCCCACCTTCCTTTCATTAGGTTTCCCTCAGTTAAGTTGTGTTTGTTATACCCAAACTTCTAGTCTAGTGTGTAGCATCTAGTATGTTTTTTGAAGAGAGTACCTCATGTCTTTCAAGACTCTGTGTGTGTATGTGTTTAGGTAAGATAAGGTAAGGTAAAGTAGGTAATTATCAAGTTTCTTTGAAGCTAACTATAAAAGGTATTAACCAGAACCAGAGTTGAATTTGATTCCTGTCCTTACCCTTCGTTGGCTGTGTGACCTTGAAAAGGTCACTTAACCTCTCTGAGCTGCCCTCTGCTTCTATTTGAGGACTCTGGGTAATAACGTAGACCTTGCAGAATTGTCATAAGCATTAGAATGGTGGTTTAAGAATGCATCAGAATCCCCTGAAAGTCTTGTGAAAACACAGATTGCCAGAACCCACCCCCCGAGTTTCCAAATCAGTAGGTCTGGAGTGGAGCCCAAGGATTTGCATTTTTTACAAGCTTTCAAGTGATGCCAGGGAACTGTTCTTTGAGAACTACTGAGATGGGATTAAAGCATCTCTATATACAGTCCCTTACATAGAGCCTGGCATGCTGTGGGTGCCCAGACACAGTCATTGATAGAGTGAGTGGTACTAGTATTTGTGATGGCTTTTATGGCAGAGAATATTCTGTGACTCAGCCCACAGCTGTGTTGTACTTGGGGAATGACAGAATTCTGCACAGAGTGACACATCTTTCTGAGAAATTCCTTATAATCCTCTTGGCTGGTGGGGAGGTGGCTGATTCGTCTTCCGAGTCTGAGTTTAACTTTCTTTTCTTTTTCTTCTGCAGTACTCTGGTTTCCAGCAGTCGGCTGACAGGTGTTTTCTTTGTGGACATCTGATCATGGACATGGTGAGTAGGTCAGCCAAAGAGAACAGCATCTCAGGTGGAGGAGGAGGCGTTTAGAGAAAAAAGATATTAATAATTGAGGACAGTGTTTCTTATCTTGATTTGTGGTTACAGCTGGACGCAGTGGCTCACGCCTTAATCTCAGCACTTTGGGAGACTGAGGCGGGTGGATCACGAGGTCAGGAGTTTGAGACCAGCCTGGCCAATATGGTGAAACCTCGTCTCTACTAAAAATACAAAAATTATTCGGGAGTGGTGGTGTGTGCCTGTAGTCCCAGCTACTTGAGAGGCCGAGGCAGGAGAATTGCTTGAACCCGGGAGGCGGAGGTTGCAGTGAGCCGAGATCACACCACTGCACTCCAGCCTGGACAACAGAGTGAGAATCCATCTCAAAAAAAAAAAAAAAAGACATCCCTATAAAGTGCAGCTTGCTTGATCTAATAGAACCTACATTGCTGGCTTTTATTGGAATTAACATCTTCAACCATGTAGAGCACGTGATGTCATGTTTCCAGTAATGCTTTCTCCTCCTCTGGGCTGTTTGAATCACACTGGCCTCCCTCTGGCTTCTCTGTGATCCTTGCGGCATCCCAGGTGAGATGCTAAATACGGTCGGTTTTTACTGCAGAAATCTCAGCTACCTTGGAGTCAAATGGAGAAAGCCAGAGGAGCAAAGTTTTTCTCCCTGTGTTGTGCCCAGCTCACACCATTACTAAGATGAGTTTTTTGGGCCTGTCATTTAGTTCTGAGATAGCAGAGCAAGGACCAGGTTTTATACATTCCATTCCTTGCTCAGTCACTGGCTCTCTGAGGTTATCTTGGGTTTCAGGTCTTCAGTGGAGACAGTTTTTCCCTGGAGGGTTAGGTTATGAGGTTAATGAATACAAGGTCAAATTGTTCACCATTGTAAATCAGCCTTTAAGAAGTTCTTTAAGGCCGGGCGCAGTGGCTCACGCCTGTAATCCCAGCACTTTGGGAGGCTGAGGCAGGTGGATCACCTGAGGTCGGGAGTTCGAGACCAGCCTGACCAACATGGAGAAGCCCCGTCTCTACTAAAAAAAATACAAAATTAGCTGGGCCTGGTGGCACATGCCTATAATCCCAGCTACTAGGGAGGCTGAGGCAGGAGAATTGCTTAAACCTGGGAGGCAGAGGTTGCGGTGAGCCAAGATCATGCCATTGCACCCCAGCCTGGGCAACAAGAGTGAAACTCCACCTCAAAAAAAAAAAAAAAAGAAGAAGAAGTTCTTTAATATACTGATTAGAGGAAATGATTATATAACATACTTTTAGTTGGAAAGAGTTAAATCCCTCTCTAAGCTGACTCATTAATTTCATTCTAAAGAAGATAATTTCTAATCATTAGTATTTTTAATTTTACCTTTTTATTGAGAAGTAACTGAGAGTAAAAGATACAAATCTTTTCACATGTGCATATACCCCTGTAACCACCACCCAGATCAAGGTGTAGAACACTTCCCAAACTCCAGAAAGTTCCTTCTTGTCTCTTCCCACTCAAGACCCCACTCCCACAAAGGCAACCACTATTCCAACTTCTACTGCCAGAAATTCATTTTGCTGGTTTTGGAACTTCATATAAATAGAAACTTATAGATGCTTTCAGGTCTTATTACATATGTTTTTGAGCTTCATCCATACTGTTATCTGTATCGGTAGTTCATTGATTTGTATTGCTAAGTGAAATTTCGTTGTATGGATATAGCACAATTTATTTCTCCATCTCATGTTGATGGGGATTTGGTGGTTTCTAGTTTTTTGCTATTTATGCATGAAGCTTCTGTGAACACTCTTGTGCATGTCTTTGATGGACATAAACATTCATTTCTGCTGGTTATATGCTAACATTTATAAAACATCAGTGACCCAGAGCCCTCCCTATTCATGGTGAATATCTGCTATCACCCAGGCTTGGACAGACCTCAGCAGAGGTCTTAGTCCTGTTAGAGCCGTGTCCTCATTAGTAGCCAAGACTTCCCTGGGAAACGTGGCCCTTCCGCCATGCTCACAGTCGAAGGTAGGCAGAAGCTACATATGCTTACCTCTCCTTCTCAAGTATCTTCTAGACTCTGTAGGGTTCTATTTCTTTAGCAGAATTTGACTTTGTTTTTTTTGGTTTTTTTTTTTTTTTTTTGAGACGGAGTCTCGCTCTGTCGCCCAGACTGGAGTGCAGTGGCCGGATCTTGGCTCACTGCAAGCTCCGCCTCCCGGGTTCACGCCATTCTCCTGCCTCAGCCTCCTGAGTAGCTGGGACTACAGGCGCCCGCCACCTCGCCCGGCTAGTTTTTTGTATTTTTTAGTAGAGATGGGGTTTCACCATGTTAGCCAGAATGGTCTCGATCTCCTGACCTTGTGATCCGCCCGTCTTGGCCTCCCAAAGTGCTGGGATTACAGGCTTGAGCCACCGCGCCCGGCCTGACTTTGTTTTTAGTGTCCTGACAAACCTAGTGCATATGAAGTCAACATGGTCTGAATTTATGAGTATGATTATACCCTGTTCTTAGTTCTAGTAATCCTAAGACTTCTTTGGATAACCTCAGGGTATGTCATTTATCTATTGCTGCATGACAAACCACCCTCAAACTTTGTAGTTTAAAACAACAGTGATTTCTTATTTATCATCAAACTTCATGCTGTGGGTCAGGATTTAGGTCAGGGTTCAGCAGGCCAATTCTTCTGCTCTATGTGGCATTGACTGGGGTCTCTTACTTAACTTTGTTCAGCTGGTAGCACAGTTGAACTGGAACATCCAAGATGACCTCTCACCCTCCAGGCCCCTCTCCTCTAATCGTTTAGTAGTCTAGTTCAGATTTCCTTACAGCAAGAGATAGGAAGTAGAAGCTACCAGTCTTCTTAAGCCTTTGACTCAGAAATCTCAGAACATTGTTTCTTCTACTTTCTGTTAATTAAAGAAAGTCACAAAGCCAGTTCTGATTTAAGGGGAGGGGGAAATGGTCTCCATCTCTTGATGTGAGATCTCTACTGTATGGGATAGTATGAAGTTGAACCTTCAGTCTTTTGGGTCTTCTCTAGACTTGAAAACTTTTAGTGAATGTCTAGACAGAACCCCAGCTGTCTAACTCTTTGTGTAAATTGTCTCTCTGTATACCCTCTTTTGTTAATAGAGGGGCACATTCTGGGCTTGCAGGTTAGAACCAGGCATAGTCTCACATAAAAAAAGTATTACAGCTAGTCACAATGCAGCAAAATGGCATCTTTTTCCAATCTTACTTTAGGCACAATGTGGATTAAATTAATTTAAGGATCTCTTTCTGCCAAGACAGCATTCATCTTGGGGAAAATTCATTCCAAGGTCCAAATTACCAAATGGGTTTTGGAACCCCAGCCAGTTGTTCTTCCTGTTTTGCCTTACTGCAGATTGAGAGGGCCCTCAAAGGGTAATGAAACCAAAGAGGGAATGAGGAAGCCTGAAAGCTGAGCATTCAGAGGAAAGCTGGAATAGAACAACGCCCTCCTCTTGCCTTCCTGGCTGGAGCTTGTGCAATGTGGAGTTATCCGCCTGAGGCTTCCAGGGGAAGGAGCTGGAACACAGCATCTCTTTCCCCCCAGGTCTCACAGTGTACTGACAAGTCTTCCCTAAATCCAAAATCCTCTTCAGCCTGTTTGAAGGCTTTCTGTGTGGCTGTCACTGCTGGATGCTGATGATCGTTCTGTACATTCTTCGCAGATGCATGTTTTGGTGTGACCTTGCTCATGTTGATTCTGTAATTCAGTTGTTTTTGCTAAGTTTCATGACACAGGTAATTGCAGAAATGAATCTCCTAGAAGTCAGTGAAGATGCTTTCAACTGCAAATTATAGAAAAAACCCAGACTCAATTCGAGCTAAACCAATGATCCTCCAACTTTAATATATATCAGAATCACCCTATTAAAATACCAACTGCCAGGCCTTACCCCCAGAGTTTCTGATTCAAGAAATCTGGGATGGGGTCCAAGAATGTGCATTATTAACAAGTTTCCAGATGATGCTAATGCTGAAGGTCCAGGGGCCACACTTCGAGGACCACTGACTTCATAGGAATGATATTTTATCTCACCTAAAAAGAGGCTTGGAAGTATGCGGTTCCATGATGAGTCAATTCAGTTACTTATGGACCTCACCGAGGACGTTCTTTCCTTCTCTTCTCTTTCCTGCTGTCCATGTCTTGGATCTGTCCTGGTTTCAGGTTGGCTCTGGCAGTTCCAGGTATCCCATCCAGATCCAGATTAAATGACACTGAGAGGAAGAAGTTTGTGGGGCTTTCCTTCTATTGCATTTAAAAACAACAACAGAGAAACTTTACTTATTACACTTGGATTTGAGGTCATTGAGTTGAGTCAGAACTTCTAAATTATCAGGCTCCAGAGTCAAAGCTGCAAGAAGGGGCACCCAAGAGGCAGAGGTGCAGGGGTTCCTTTTGAGCTCTGCCATTTCCACATGGAATTTCTTTTCATTTTTCCAAGTACTTGCTGCTTCCCAAATCTGGGAAGGATGGATCCTTCTGTGGCCCTGCTTTGCATCGTTTCCCACTTCTCCATGGTGGATTTTGGCCCTGGGATTGGCCCATCCCTCCCTTAGCATCTCTTTCTATTAAAGAACTGTGCAAGAGTTTCCTGCTCTGGGTGAGGGTTGGAAAGGAGCCCTCTTTCCCTCCCAGCTCAGAGACCCTGTGAGAGGCTGCAGGAAAAAGATTCTTAGGTGGTCTCTTCTGTGTATTCATCTAAACAGATTTGCCTTTCCCACCCCATCACCTCTTGCTCTTCTCCTAAGTGAAACTCGGGGGTAAGTGTACTCCGTGTGTGACTGCTCATGTAATCCTTAGGACTGATGTATTTCTCTCCCCTTCCACCATTCCATCCTTCCCTATAATCCCCACTGAGTCTTGGCCTCTCCTCCAGATCCTGCAAGCCTTGGGGAAGTCCTACCACCCCGGCTGTTTCCGCTGTGTCGTCTGTAATGAGTGTTTGGATGGGGTGCCCTTCACCGTGGACTCGGAGAACAAGATCTACTGTGTCCGAGATTACCACAAGTAAGAAGGGACGGGAGCAGACAGGACCCATTTGTGTAGGCCAAGCTGATCTCAGCAGAGTGAGCGGTGGAAACCAACAGAACTGTGTTTGCCAGCTGCCCTTAGATCACAGTCCAGCAAAGGCTTAATGGTTTTGAGGGGAGGGGTGCAGTAGGGATCTTGGGAGGTTGGTCAGTGCCAGTGTTGACAGGAATGGGTTAAAGAATCATGTTTAGTGAGAAAAACAAAAACAGAGCACAAAAAACTAATAATCGTATTCCTGGCTAGGCCTCGGGAGGAATCCACCAAGCGCTGTGGCTTCAGCGTTACCTGACTTCACAAGGCTCCTATGCAGTGCTGGTTCCCACCACTCGGTTTGCCTGGGCCTGTGCTAGGCACCATGAGGGGTATAAACAAATAGGTTAGTGCTGTCCCCAGAAGAGTGAGAGGCAGCCAGTGTCTTCATTGCAGCTGGGGAACAGATACTAAGGCATATTCCACAAAGTGAGCCAGGTTCCAGACATTCTATGAGGGAGGAGAGCAAAGGGCAGGAGGCAGCATGGAGGAAGGCTCCATGTGGATTCCAAGTGCAGGTCTGTCTCTGGGCTTTGCTCCCAGAAACAACACAGTGTTCATTTACTGCTGCTTTGTTTCTCCCCACAGGGTGCTGGCCCCCAAGTGTGCAGCCTGTGGGCTTCCCATCCTTCCACCTGAGGTAAGATGCCTTTCCAGACATGCTCCCAGGGGCTTCTAAAACATGAATATCTCCCTGGGCTCATTTACAAGATTCATGTCCTGTCCTTACATCTTTTAAGGTATCCTTTTAAAAATCTCAACTCTGGCCTGGTGCAGTGGCTCACGCCTGTAATCCCACCACTTTAGGAGGCCTAGGCAGGCTGGAAAATTGCTTGAGGCCTAGAGTTTAAGCAACATAGCAAGACCTCATCTCTACAGAAAATTGTTAAAAATTAGCCAAGCGTGGTGGCATGTGCCTGTAGTCCTAGCTGCTTGAGCCTGAGAGTTTGAGACTGCAGTGAGCTATGATAGTGCTACTGCATTCCAGTGGGTGACAGAGCAAGACCTTGTCTCCAAAAAAAAAAAAAAAAAAAAAAAAAACCTCACGTTTGAGAGAAGTCACGTCCTCACCCCTCCTTGTTGACTGGCTTCCCCGCCCCAGTACCCTTCTTGTGCTGGTTTGTCCCCATCATCAGGTCAAACTCCCTTACCTGATGACTAATTCTTAGATTAGCAGATGAGCAGAAAGACTTGTCTTTTATTCATTTTTTAAAATAAGTGTCCATGTAGGTCTTTCTTTCAGTGTTGACTCCAGCATCCCAGAAGGAAGGGCTCCTGTCCCTCCCAATTTCCTTCTCATCAGCTTAAATGTATTCTTTTTCCAACAAGTACTCCTGATTATCTTCTCCTCCCAAGGCCACCTACTTGTTACCCCAAAACCCTCTTCCCTCCCCACCCTGTGGTACATCAAACCCAACAGGCCCCTAACAGGTCTCTCGGGCGTGTTCTTGCTTTTCTTTGGTCCCAGGGCTCAGATGAGACCATCCGTGTCGTGTCCATGGACAGAGACTACCACGTGGAGTGTTACCACTGCGAGGTAGGCCCCTCCCCACCCGGCCCCCAGAGCCCATTGTAGATATCCAAGAGAAGAGCATCCTGCATTGACTGGGGCAAGAGGTGGTCAACAAGATTCTGGCAAGGTTCAGCCCTCTAGAACTTCTGTAGGAAATGGAGTGAAGGCTGGTTCTTGGGGGAGGTAGGAGAAGATGGAAATGCTCAAGGTATAAAGGTCTTTCTTTTGCACATTCAGAACTATCAAGTCCTGCAACTGTTGGAGCTACTATCCCTGAAGCTGCAGAGCTAGGAGGGTGGTGGAGAGCATGGCTTTCAGGTTCTGTCTGGGGGCCACATTGTCAGGCAGGTGTGCGATTTGGGGAAGGGACACCCTTCGCTCCAGCTTGTAGGCTGTTCTGTCTGCCAGAAGCCCGTTTCTCAGTCAAGCCCTGGAAATCAGGAAGCCCCTCCTGGAAACAGGCATGTCAGCTGGTGGTGTGAAGGCAGGTGGGGTCCACTTGCCCCTTCCTGCCCTGTGTCCCAGGATGAAGCAGCACTAGTACCTGATGACTGTTAGGAAAGCTAGGGATCGCCCCTCACCAGCCCCTGTGAAGGGTGACCATGAAATTTCAGCCACAATTAAGTGAATTCACCCATGGAAGGAGATTAGATTCATTTGGTGACCTTGTGAGTAGAGAACGGGGGTGTCCCTCATATAGACTTGTCCCACTGCCAACACTGAAGAAATGGGTGGGAATCATTGCTGCGGGACCCCAGGTGCCCCAGGTCACTGCAGGAGAAAAAGGTGAAGACATTTGCTCAACAGGCCTCTCCACATTTTCTAGACCAGTGCTATCCAAAAGAAATATAAGGGGCTGGGCGCGATGGCTCACGCCTGCAATCCCAGCACTTTGGGAGGCCAAGGCTGGCAGATCACTTGAGGTCAGGAGTTCAAGACCAGCCTGGCCAACATGGCAAAATCCCATCTCTACTAAAAACACAAAAATTAGTGGGCATGGTGGCACACACCTGTAGTCCCAGCTACTCGGGAAGCTGAGACAGGAGAATTGCTTGAACCCGAGAGGTGGAGGTTGCAGTGACCTGAGATTGTGCTACTGTACTCCAGCCTGGGCAACAGCGAGACTCCATCTCAAAAAAAGAAAGAAATATGAGAGCAACAAATTAAAGTCATGGTATCATTTTAAGTTTTCTGGTAGCCACAATTAAAAAGTTAAAAGAAACAGGTGAGATTAATTATTTTATTCAGTTCAAAATATCCAGCCAGGCATGGGCCCGTGCCTGTAATCTTAGCACTTTGGAAGACCAAGACAGGGGGATCACTTGAGTCCAGGAGTTTGAGAACAGCATGGGCAACACAGTGAGACCCCTGTCTCTACTAAAAATACAAAAATTAGCCAGGCATGCTGTGCCTATAGTCTCAGCAACTTAGGAAGCTAGGATCACGTCACCTCACTCTCCTCTGGGTGACAGAGCAAGACCCTGTCTTAAAAAAATAAAAAGTCAAGGACCAGGCGCTGTGGCTCATGCCTGTAATCCCAGCACTTTGGGAGGCCGAGGTGAACGGATCACGAGGCCAGGAGATCGAGACCATCTCGCTAACATGGTGAAACCCTGTCTCTACTAAAAATACAAAAAAATTAGCTGGGTGTGGTGGTGTGCACCTGTAATCCCAGCTACTTAGGAGGCTGAAGTAGGAGAATGGCGTGAACCCAGGAGGTGGAGGTTGCAGTGGAGCTGAGATCACGCCACTGTACTCCAGCCTGGGTGACAGAGTGAGACTCCATCTCAAAAATAAATAAATAAATAAAAATAAAAAATAAATAAAAATCTCACTGGGCGTGGTGGCTCACACCTGTAATCCCAACACTTTGGGAGGCCGAGGCAGGCAGATCAATTGAGGTCAGGAGTTCAAGACCAGCCTGGCCAACATGGTGAAACCCTGTCTCTACTAAAAATACAAAAATTAGCCAGATGTGGAGGTGTGTGCATAATCCCAGCTACTTGGGAGACTGAGGCAGGAGAATTGCTTGAACCCGGGAGGTGGATGTTGCAGTGAGCTGAGATCGCACCACTGCACTACAGCCTAGGAGACAGAGGGAAACTGTCTCAAAAAAGAAAAAAAAAAATCCAAATATTATCTTTTGAACATGTAATCAATATAAAAAAATTACCCATGAGATTTTTTTGTAACTCCACAATTTATTTCTTCTAAAAAAAATAGGATATGTGTGCAGGTTTGTTACATAGGTATACGTTATACGTGTGCCATGGTGGTTTGCTGCACCTATTGTCCCATCTTCTAAGTTCCCTCCCCTCAGCCCCCACCTCCCAACAGGCCCTGGTGTGTGTTATTCCCCTCCCTGTGTCCATGTGTTCTCATTGTTCAACTCCCACTTGTGAGTGAGAACATGTGGTGTTTAGTTTTTTGTTCCTGTGTTAGTTTGCTGAGGTTGATGGCTTCCAGCTTCATACATGTCCCTGCAGAGGACATGATCTCATTCCTTTTTCCCATGAGATATTTTTACATCCTCTTTTTGTCCTAAGTCTTGGGAATCTGCGTTTACACTGACAGCACATTTTAAGTGGTTCACAGCAAGTGTTGTGTGGCTGTGTCTCCTGTGTTGGACAGGCCTCCACTGGGCAGGAGCTGTGTTTCTGCACTGGCATTTCCTGCCTATACAGAAAAACACAGCACCCTCTGCTGATTTTGGGGCCTGTGACCTTCAGGTCAGTCTTGCAGTCTGTTTTGATTTGCTTTCCCTGGACATGTCTGCCTCCCCCCAGGACTGTGGTCTGGAGCTCAATGATGAAGATGGCCACCGCTGTTATCCGCTGGAGGACCACTTGTTCTGTCACTCCTGCCACGTGAAGAGGCTGGAGAAGAGACCCTCGTCCACAGCCCTTCATCAGCACCACTTCTAGCCAGAGCCACTTGCAGACATCACGGCAGGGGATGAGGAGCCGGGGTTGCTGCTGCTGCTTCCGGTGGCCCCTGGGGTGGAAGTGGGGTAGGGGAAGAGGAGGGGTGGAAGGGAGAGTTCCTGTGAGCATGTGTGGGGTGCCTTTCCTGTAACCAGGGAGGTGAACACTACCTGCCTGCTATGTGTGTTTTCCAAGTGCTTTTCTCTGTTGCCACATTTTCCTCAGGTTACTCAGGAAAATGCTCCAGCATGTGCATAGCATATGACCTGAGGTTGCATCATTGCAACAAAGGAATCCTCCTGTCCCCTCTGGAAACATTTCATGCTTCTGAAGGAGAGGTTCTTATTGAGCTTGTTTCACAATATCCCCTTGAAGGGACAGCTCAGCTGCCAATACATTCACCCCTTTCTCTTCCTTCAGGAAAATACCTATACCCAAATGCCCCCTCCCCCCATACATATCATGGCATGATTTAAGTCTTCTTTTCACCCAAGAGCTTCAGTTCTTCTGCAGAATGGCTGCAAATTTAATTGCATTAAGGCAAGAAGGAAGCTCTAATATGTGTTTTGTATCCTAAGACGAATTTGCTTAGAAAACCAGAGGCAAGATTTGAAATAAGTGAGGCAGGGTTTCCTCCTTAGACACTGACAGCATTCTCTGTGCCCCTGCAAATCCTTACTCTCCTAAAGGCAGCTGAGGCCCCGACAGAAATTTGCCCTATGTGAGTAAAACATGCTTTGGGAGAAGAACTTGGTGCAGGCACCAGGATTTTTTTTTTTTGCTCACGTCTTTGTGCTGTTTTTCTCTGGAGTTTTCGAGAGTCAGTGACTTGGAAGGCCACTTCTGCAAGGCAAGTCTCAGGAACCCATGCAGGTACATCATCACTTGCACCTGTTTTTAGCTTATTTAATGACAGGCTTTTGGGAAGAACTGCCTGCATACTGAGAGACAGCTTCTTATAAACAAGGAGAGTTTTTGTGTGTGCGAGATCTCTAAGCCAGCGTGGGAGGGAGTGCCTCAGGATAAGTTATTATATTCATTTTGTTGGTTTCTCTCCTGCCCAGTTCTTGGCAGAGGCATTATGTTGGAAGAAACCAGTATAAGGTACACTGCTTTTGTCTGTTTTTTTAGTTGTTTCCCTTCACTTTCAGTCTTCCACACACAAAAAATACCTCACAGATAGAGCTTCACCAAATCACAGATTCAGGAGGAATTTGGCTTTCACACTGGACTCAGATGTCTTCTTCGGTGTGTTGGAAATCACTGGCTTCCCACAGGCCCAACTCCAGCTGGTCAGGGCAGAGTGATCGTAACTAAAGGTCAGTGGGGAATAGATCCGATTCAGTGCTTTTACCTTATGCATTCCAGCATCCTGGCTTCCCAGGGTGGCAGGAGCTGAGGGAGGGCCACACACTGGCGAGATTTCAAGACCACTGTCTGCACTAAAGAGGTAAAATTTGCGCTGCAAGTCACATCGCTGAGGCTGGAGGCCAATACCCCTTGGTATTTTGATTAGAAGAAGCTGCAAAAGAGAGGCAGTCCATTTTACCATTGCCAGCCAGGCTGGGGACACGGGAGCCGGTGTGTGCACTCTGCCTCCTCACATTGCACCCAGAGCAAGAGGACTGGGTGCTGGGCTGCTGAGGGCGGTCAGTGGAGCCCCTAGCACATGTGAACTCAGGCTTTTCATTGGGCCTGGCTCTACTTCTAGGCCATGTTTTGACTCATTTGGTAACCATTGCCTGTAAAAAGCACAGAATTGGTGCCATGGATTATCCTTTCCATGTTGATGAAATTCATTCTGTTGGAATCCTTTGGCCAGATGTCACTTCAGCCAGGGTGTGCATTGTCATTGGTTCTTTTTCACAGGCTGAGCCTCCTGAAAACCCATGAACGCTGGGGTTGGGGAAGTGAACCCTGAGGTGGGGACCCTCTCTTCCCATCAAGTCCTCCAGCTCAGTGTGGGCACGGCAGGGGGTGAATGAAGCCAGCCAATGTGTTAACCTGTCTCTGTCAACCTAAGAATGTTGGCCTTTACTGACACACCTTTGCTCCATGTTCAAGACCAGAAGTAGCTGGGATTTGTTTGCAAATCGGGTAATTAGTTTAAAAATCTGTGATTACATTTTTAAATGAAATTTTTAAAGTGGCCTAGATTGAGGTGATTCAGATAGGTTTGCAAATATACCATTTTATATTGTCGAGAAAGAACCATAAGGGAATTTCCAGATGTCCTAGAAATCCTAGCAACAGATTTCTCTGGTTGTCAGTTTCCCTGGAGAAGGCGCCAGGTAGGAATCTCCGATCAGTTGTTTTTCTCCCCGCTTCAGGCCCTTGCACAAAAGCCATGAAGAGATGTTCACCTACCTGGTATTTTAAATATAAATTATTAGCCAAATAGAATTGTAATGGGGTTGTATTTATGGGCGCCTAGAAGGCAAACACAAGGACTTGGTAGGCCAGGAAGAAAAGGTTTTAAAATTTAGAATGAATAGCCCTCCTGGATTTTCTTTTTGACAATTCTTGGACTTTAGATAAAACAAGGAGGATTGTGGCCGGATTTCAGATCCCAAAGCCAGCCTTCATCTTAGGCCTTTGCCTCATCGTGCCTTTTAGGTTTTCTTACCCACTGTCTCCTGTTTTGTCTTTTTCTTCTTTTCCCCTACCCCTATCTTGGAACATTCAGAAACTGCCTGGGTGGTTTGAGAAGAGACAACCCAGTTTGACCTGCAATGTAAGGATCCATTCGTAATCTCTCTCACTGATGTTATTTCCCCATCTGCTGTCTTGGTTCATCTCACCACAGAAGGGCATTTAGTCCTAACCAGCCATCGGCTGCGTATGGCAGCAGGATGGCACCTCCCATTTCTCTGTGGTTAGTGCTCAAGTGAAAACCTCTTTCAGCTGAGTCCTCTGAGGTTCTGCTGTTGAGTCCTGGGTGGCTGATGGAATGATTGAGGAGGTCTGGTCACCCTCAAGCGCCATCATCGCCTTGTTTCTGTGGGCTTGTGTCACACAAAATGAAGAACAGAAATGTTAGGACTTAAGAGAATGTTTGGAAATCACACCCCTTTGCAGTCCTTTCAAGGCTGCTGCTATGTGCTGTGTCCCGTGCATGTGAAAGTCGAGCTGTGATGGCTGCTGGGACCCCTGCAAAGATCATGTGTGAGAATTGAGCACAAGACCACAAATTATTACTGCTTGATGCACTTGTTAAAACTCTATCTGCCAGGAAACCAAATTTTTTTTTTTTTTTTTGAGGCAGGACCTCACTCTGTTGCCCAGGCTGGAGTGCAGTGGTGCAATCTCAGCTCACCGCAGCCTCCATCTAGTGGGTTCAAGTGATCCTCCCACCTCAGCCTCAGTAGCTGGGACCACAGGCATGTACGACTACCCCTGGCTAATTTTTGTATTTTTAATAGAGATGGGTTTCACCATGTTTCCCAGGATGGTCTGGAACCCCTGGGCTCAAGTGATCTGCCCACCTCCACCTCCCAAAGTGTTGGGATTATGGCCATTAGCCACTGTACCTGGCACAATTTTTTTTTGTACCTTCCTTTATGCCAAGAATCAGTCCTAATTTCTGTACTATGTGAAGGAACTTTTAAAAGTAACAGAAAACGCCAGGCACAGTGGCTCATGCCTGTAATCCCAGGCGCTGTGGCTCATGCCTGTAATCCCAGCACTTTGGGAGGCTGAGGTGGGTGGATCACTTAAGGTCAGGAGTTAGAGACCAGCCTGACCAACATGGTGAAACACTGTCTCTACTAAAAATACAAAATTAGCCAGGTATGGTGGTGCATGCCTGTAATCCCAGCTACTTGAGAGGCTGAGGCAGGAGAATTACTTGAGCCTGGGAGGCAGAGGTCACAGTGAGCCAAGATGGTGCCATTTCACTCTGACCTGGGCAACAGAGCGAAACTCTGTCTCAAAAAAGAAAAGAAAAGAAAAGTAACAAAAAAGAGTGAAATATATTAGCTGTCTTTTATTCTGAGCCAAAACTTGACAGATGTGGGAAATCTCCATATAGTGTATGAAAATTTCATTGTACAGGGAAATTATTTTCCTCTGTGTCTTTCCTTTTACTATAAAGTGATTCAGAATTTTACTGTTACTATAAAATTATGCAAAGTATTGTGACAAAACTGCATCAATTTGTTGACTATTAAAGTGCTCCTTGAACATTATATTTCCCGGGTCTTTTCTGTGTGTGGAGTCAGCAAACAATGCTTTTGCTACCTGGACTTTGTGTTCTTTTACAGCTCTGGATTCTTAAAAGTACCACATGGGTATCAAACCTGTGAAGGGTATGAGATTTTACCCTACTTGCAAGCTAACAAAGTGAGCACACCACATGGATTCATGGATCCTGGCAGAAGTTACGAGACTCATAGGTCAGAGACAAAGGACAGTGTATTATAGCAATCGCAGTGGCCAGATTATCAGCATTTGCACTGGTTCCCTGAGCCCCAGGCCCCATGAAGAGGGCCAGGTGAGACCTGCACACACAGTGGGCTGCATTACAAGAGGAACCCCCATGCTTAGGGAACCCTGGTATTTGATAATGGGCAGTAAGCCTGCCTGACTTTTGCTCCAGAGACAGACACTATCTCTGTCATCCAAGACTGTTCACTAGATAAACATCCTTGAAAATATAACTCTGGAACCTGGCACTAGGTGCCTATTCTTACCAGATGTATAAAAATGTGAGAGACCTTGGAGAATCATATCCCAAGAATCAGCAGTTTCTTTTACTGGACCTTTAAGATTGAGACATGTGATATGCAGTGACATGTAAGGTCACTTTGTCTCTTTTGTGAATGTTACCATTTTTTTTCTTCTGAGGTATGACCAAAGAATCCTCAAGGTGAGTGATCCTTCAGTTTTGAGACAGCCACATGCAGGAAGACGGGACTTGTAGAGTGATGGGGCCAAGTGTGTGGTTAGAATCCTTGGGGTGGGGAAGGAGTTTGTTCTAGACTCCAGTTTAGTCCTTGTGGCTACCAGGTCTGACGTGCCAAGGACACGGGAAAGCTGGGAGTGAGGATACTGATAGTCATGGCACCTTACACCAGAATAAAACTTTCTTTCTTTTTTTTTTTTTTTCCTTTTAAGTGATAAGAGAACGGCTAGTCTGATTTTACCAACATGGGCTGCTATTTGCTTAAGACTGATGGTTCAAGGGGTGAAGATGCAATCAGGGTAAAAGGTGGTCTGGGGTTGTGGTGTGCTGGCAAACCAGCCCTCTTGGGGCAAAAAATTTAAAAGCCCTGATATGGAGTATTTGCTGATATCTATAATGTAAATATTCCCACTGTGGCCACTTTCCAGTTACCAGCAAGGCATCCCAGCACTAGGGGTTGGGAGGAGATGGCATAGTCCTAAGAGTCAGCCTCGGGCATTGAGCCATGTGGGACTGGGCAGTGGGGTATCTGGTCTGGTTCTAAATGCTGTGATGAAGCAGTAGCAACTGTAATAGCTGATATTTCCTGTGTGCTCACCACATTCCAAGGACTGTATGTTCTTTATCATCCCTCATTTGATAGACAAGACAACTGAGACACAGAAGGGTGAAGTAAACAGAAAGTATGCAATAAGTACTCCATCCCAGACCATCTCGTCCAGAGGGCACTGTCTTGACCACTCTACTACTATGGTTGCTGTGAGGCAGTAACTTGTCCGTCCGTGTACTTCTTCATCAAAGCTACATAGTCAAAAAGCCACAGGAGGCTGTGAGGAGAAGCTCACTGCTGCTCTGTTGAAGTCTGTATTGGTTTCCTATGGCCACTCTAACAAATTACCATAACCTCGGTGACTTAAAACAACCCAAATATATCTTTCTGTCATCCTGGACATGAGCCAAAGTCAAGGTTGTCAGCAGAAGCGCAATGCTTTCAGAGGCACTATAGGGGACTGCCCATTCCTTGCCCCTTTTCTGCTTCTAGAGGCTGCCCATTTTCCTTGGCTTGTGGCCGCATCATTCTGGCTGCTTCTATTGTCACATCTCCTCTCTGACCCTCCCTGCCTCCTTATAAGGATGCTTGTGATTATATCCATCCAGATAATCCAGAATCTCCCATTTTGTGATTCTTAATAACATCTGCCGCCGGGCGCAGTGGCTCAAGCCTGTAATCCCAGCACTTTGGGAGGCCGAGGCGGGCGGATCACGAGGTCAGGAGATCGAGACCATCCTGGCTAACACGGTGAAACCCCGTCTCTACTAAAAAAAATACAAAAAACTAGCCTGGCCAGGTGGCGGGCGCCTGTAGTCCCAGCTACTCGGGAGGTTGAGGCAGGAGAATGGTGTGAACCTGGGAGCGGAGCTTGCAGTGAGCTAAGATCCGGCCACTGCACTCCAGCCTGGGCAGCAGAGCGAGACTCCGTCTCAGAAAAAAAAAAAAAACAAACATCTGCAAGGCCCCTTTTACTTTGCAGAATAAGATATTCACAGGTTCTGGTGATGAGGACAGGGAGATCTCTAAAGGGGAGGGAAGCAGGAGATAGGGTCTGGAGGCAGGGAATCTAAGGCCAATTCGGGCTGACTTCTAAGAACTAAGTCAAAAGGAAAACCCCAACTTTCCATGCCCAAGTAACAAAGGGACCAGAGGCTACTACCTTTGCAACGCCCCCCCCTCCCGGCCCCTTTTCTGCATGGCAGGTGAAAAATTGAAAGTACCTCTGATTCATCCCCTCCCACAACCAATCAGACTGCTTGCGGGCCAAGTCTTCATTTGAGTATAACTTTGTAACTTCAGGCTCTAATTGGTTGCTTTCCACAACCAGATGTTTGTACAGGGTGGTGTAACTTCGTAACTTCGCTTCAGCCTCTGATTGATCCCCTCCCACAACCAATCAGACTGATCATGGACCTCTACTTCATTTACATAGGGTGTACAGCAAGGAACCAATGGGCAACCTCTAGGGGGTATTTAAACCCCAGAAAATTCTTTCAGCAGGCTCTTGAGCTGCTTGGCCTGCTCCCACTCTGTGGCGTGTACTTTTGTTTTTCAAAAACTCTTTCGTTGCTTCATTCTTTCCTTGCTTTTTGCGTTTTGTCCGTTTCTTTGTTGAAGATGCCAAGAACCTGGACACCCTTCACCCCAGGAGGAGCATTAGTCAGCCTACCACAGACTCCAACAAACATTTTTTGAGAGGAAATGAAAGAATATTCCTAGGTTATTGGGTGCCTTTTCTTCAAGAAGCCCTGAAAGTTGGGTTTGCATTTTTCCCTGGATTGAAAACAGAAATGCTTCCTACACAAACATGATTGAGACTTTGTACTCTAGGTGTTAAAAAACATTAGGTCATACCCTGTGGGTTACGGTCAGAGAGATCTGGTTAGAAGTTCCCAGGTAGGCGACAGCCCTAGATATGTGACACTTCTAGGAGAATCCCTGGCTCTGTGGATACGTCCAGGCGTGTAAGGCAGCCTCAGGGACTGCCACCACTTGGTTACATACATGTCCCTCCAACTAATCCTAACTCTCAAGGACAGGCAGTTCTGGGCCCTGTGTTGCCCATGAGACTTGGTCCACAGCAAGCCTGTGACGGAGTGAAAGTGAGGGGACACCCAATTCGCAAACTCAGCAGGAAGCCAGACTCCATGACAGACAAAATGGATCAAAGTGAATCGGCTCTGTTGTTTGGGGAAATACTTGAGGTTTGTTGTTTCGTGCCAAGAAGATTAACGACACGGACACACGTGGGTAGGTTAAGGAGCAGAAAGTTTAACAGGCAGAAAAAAGAGAACAGCTCCCCCATGCAGACGGAGGAGGACTCCTAATGGATCTCCCCATTCCTGGCAGGAAGCAGTCTGATACACAGAGGAAAGGTTTGAAGAGGTGGTGTTTGATTTACATAAAGCCCAAGGGATTGGTTTGACCAGCTATGCCATTTACATAGCCCTCGGAGAAACTGGCCATTCCACCTTGATCTTTTATTATGCAGATGGGGTTTTTTACCTGGCCAGAGCCTTGACACCTGCACACATGGCAACAAACAGAAGAGAGGAGAAATCTTCCATATTGGATGTACCTGGCTTCCAGGTGCATTTATCTATGCAAGCTTCTAGCTTGGTTATTTATGCTTGCAGCTTGACTTTTCAGGCTGCTTTCTGTTAGAAAAAAAAAATGGTTTTGGGGCTGCTTTTTATTAAAAGAAAAGCCTTACCAAGGACTCCTGTACCCTCACTATCTGCCTGAATAATTTTTTTAACTTCTATATTAAAAGGTCTACAAGTGGGAACTGGCCCTAAAAGTAGGTTGTAGAAATTATTTGGATGTGCCAACAAGCTTCATCTGCAGCTTGGACTGTCTTCACTGGAAGGCCTCTGGCAGATTTTGTAAAAAGTTATATTTATGTAACAATTTTACTATAGGAAAAACTTGCCTAAAGATATGAATTTATATTACTCATCATTGGCTGGTTCCTTATCCTGAACATTGGTTTCCTTGGAATCTGATTTTGGCTTGTTTGGCCTTTAAAAACCCCAGAAGAATGGATGTTTCTACCAGATTATTTTCTGGTTTTCAGTCTCACTATATGTCACAAAGGCCTTGGTTTATGGTTCCCAACTGGTGAAGAAACGTCAAACTTTGCGTCTCTTAGTTCCTTCTACATGACAATGGGTGGTGGCTGCTCAGATGGAAGCATTTTTTTTTTCCCTAAAGCCTATGAGACAGGCTGCACCTTAGACCCCTATTTTATTAAAGGAGAGGAAATGTCCAAGAGCCCAGAGCTAGTGGGTAAAAGCATCATCAGGACTAGAAATGGGGTCTTCTTGTTGCCAATTAGTAGGGGTGAAGGGTAAGTGGCATATGTGACTGCCATCCATGCCCAGACAGGGAATTGTCCTTGAACCCACTCATGTGGTGTCTTCTAGGGTACAGTGAGTCCTCAGGGCAGGACAGCCTTGGGGTCAAGAGCCCAGACTCAGGTGCTATCTCAGGCTTTGTAACTCAATTGCTCAATGACCTTAAGCCAGTTTAGTTTCCTCATCTGTGAAAATGGGGATAACAACCGAATTTACCTCATGGGATTGTTGTAAGGAATGATGGAATTCATCCAAGTAAGGGAATTAGAGCAGTTCCTGTCATGAAGTAATTGCTCAATAAAGTGTGTCAGGTTTTAAGAGTAATTGATTTTACGTCATGATAAATGGCAACAAAATAAATGACAAATGGATTAA